AAAGCCAACCCACAGAATGGGAGAAAGTACTTGAAGAGGGATTGTCTCTGGTTTCCATAAAGGACATTCACAAGTAAACTACACTATTCAGAAATAGGTACAAAACTGAGGGACATTTCTCCATAGAAGACACTGTGCTGGCTAGCTTTATGTCACGTTGACACAAACTAAAGTCATTTGAGAAGAGGGACCTCAACTGAGAAGACGCCTCCGTAAGATTCGGCTATAGTCAAACCCATAGGGCATTTTCCTCAATTAGTGACTGATGGGAAGGGCCATCCCACAGGGTGGGGCCATCCTTGTGCTGGTCCTGGGTACTATAAGAAAGCAGGCTGAGCAAGCCATGATGAGCAGTCAGTAAGCAGCACCCTCCATGGCCTCTGTATCAGCTCCTGCCCTGTTTGAGTTTCTGTCCTGACTTCCTTCAGTAGTGAGCAGCAATATGGAAGTATAAGTCATATAAACCCTTTCCTCCCCAACTTGCTTTGATCATGGCAAGTTGATCATTTCATCATGGCAATAGTAACCCTAAGACAATATAATATACAAGTAGCCAATAAGATATGATGATCTCTGATATATCCTAACTGTTATATAGACAATGGAAATAAATGCATCACAACATATATAGTCTAAAAAACCATTGAACATAAACCAGAAGATGCCATCCCATACCCAGAAAACACCAGGTTCTGGCACGTATGTGGAGAAACTGGAATTCTTGTGAGTTGTTACTGTAGTAACATATGTAGTTACATAGTCACTGTAGAAAATGGTGTCTTAAAAATACAATTTTTTCTCTTTTTTTTTTTTTTTTTTTTTTTTTTTCGAGACAGGGTTTCTCTGTGTAGCTTTGCGCCTTTCCTAGGACTCACTTGGTAGCCCAGGCTGGCCTCGAACTCACAGAGATCCGCCTGGCTCTGCCTCCCGAGTGCTGGGATTAAAGGCGTGCGCCACCACCGCCCGGCAAAAATACAATTTTACTGGGCCAGTGACATGGCTCAAGTGAGTAAGGGCATTTGCCACCAAGTTTGATGATGTAAATTCAGTCCCTGTAATCTGTGTAGCAATTGGGAGCTAACTGACTCCTCCATCCTCCACCAGCATGCATACCCACACTAAGTAAATAAAAACCTAAGTAAATAATGTTTAAGGCAGAACTTAACCAATGACCCAGCAGTTCTGTTCAGGATGAATGAGTTGAAAGCAGGAAGCAGGGTGTTGTGGCACACACCTATCATCCAATACTTCGCAAGCTGACACAGGAGGGTTGTTCTGAGTTCAAGAGCCTGGGCCATATAGTAAGACCCTGTCTTTAAAACATATGAACAAAAGGTTGTAACAAAGAATTAGAGCATATATATTCTCTATAACATACATACCACCATTCACCCTCTTCCTGTGAGCAGCATCTCATGGCAAACAGAAAAGCAGCCCTTCTGTGCACAGCATCTGAATGCAGAAACAAAAAGCTGCCCTTGGAAAGGAAGGGGTTCTATACCAGCTACAGTATAGGTGAACCAGAGCATTATATTAAATGAATGAGCCAATCACAGAGGGACACACACCAGCAAATGAGAATTTTACATGCCTGTACTCAACGTAGAAAACATGTTGGGTTTGTATTCAGCTCATTCATTGTTTATTTTATCTGTGTGGGAATTGAATTATCCAAATAGTATTCAAAGCACAGTTACAGTTTGAATTTATTTGCATGTTGCCATCTTCAGCAAGAACTTTTCTGCATCCTGAATTAAAACCATGCTTATTAGAGATTGAAAAGCTACAGTATAACAAAGTAAGAGTTTTCCAAAAGGCAACACCTGAGCCTTCATGTGCAGACAGTAGTCTGCAGGGGAGACAGCCAGAACCTGCATTGTGAACTTTTTCCTGTAGATTTCTAGTAAAAGAAAGGTTGGTTTTAAGGTTAAAAGTCTCTTTTTCTAACTTATTGTCAAAATATCCAGTATTTAATATTTTTCTGACATTTTCCTTTGAATGATGTGTTGTGTATATACACATGTATGTGGAAGCCAGGTTGATGTGTCAAGTATTATATATGCTCATGTGAGTGTGTGCATATGTGTGCATGCATGTGTCTGAGTGTGTGTGTCTGGAAGGTAGGGATTAACACTAGGGGTCCTCCTCAGTCACTCTCACCTAATTTTTTAAGAGAGGCTCTCTCCCTGAACCTGCAGCTCACTTATTTGGCAAGGCTGGCGAGACAAGGAGCCCTAGGGATCCTCCTGTCTCTCCCCAGCACTGGATTACATGCTCACTTCACACCTTGTATATTTTGTATGGATGCTGGAGTTCCAGTCTCAGGTCCTCGTGCTTACATGGCAAGCACTCTCCCAGCTGAGCCAGTCCCAGCCCTCTGCTGTTTTCTCCGATAGTGGTAAGATGAAAGTAAAGGTCCTAGCAGTCAGGAGCCCTGTATCCTGGGGTGGGAACAGTCATCCTATGGGATGGGAAATCAAGTCAGCAGCTTCTTTTTCTTCTAATTCTAAATCATTCAAGTTAGAGATTCACAAGGTGAACGCAGGTTTTGGTGTCAGTTTAGATACTTTAGTATTCTTTCTAAGGTGGTAACATATTGCTCAAAGGGTGACATATTAACTGTAGAGCAGAGGAAGTATCCTTTGTGACCTGGATATTTTCCACCCTTTTAGAAGAACATGGTAGGTTCGGAACCCTGGCACCTGGGTCCTTTTGGAGAGTTTACTTTATTGAAGCATAACCCTAGACATGTCATGTGCCATTTCTGGAGGATATTTTGGTTTGTGTCTTTCAAGACACGTAAGAAACCTGACAGAATGCCTAGAGGACTCTAGATATCTCTTCTTTCAGCTGGGTTATCTTCCCCTTAGGCACAGTGAACAACCAACCACTGTGTTTCAGTGGCTTTAGTTTTACGGTTTTCTGGCTAACAGTCACATTGAAGTAGAGATAGTTAAAGACAGCGTCTGTCTTAGAGGCTGAAGGAGGCAAGACGTCGTCTTCACAAGCACCCTAAGCTTCTGGGTAGCCCTTCAGGTTGTTCACACTCTGCTCACTCTCAGATAAATCAGACCAGGTGGAATGCTTTTGTATAATCCAAAATTCAAGCATTTGATTCGACTTCATACACCAGTTATAGAAGCGCCGAAGAGTATACTCCCTGTGTGACCACCCAGAAGGAAGTATCTCGGTCCCTAAAGAGTGCCAGGTGAAAGGACCACTGATAGCATAAGACCGTGTCCCATAGGAAAGTGCCACCTTTCACTTGAAACTTGGCTAGCCACAGGTTTATCAGAAAGCCAGACATCTCCAGAGTGTTGGAGAGCAGAGTCCAGAACCTTCATTTCTGGATGAAATGAGGCTGATCACAGCCATTGTCTTATGTTAATAATCTCAAGCTGAAATGAGTAGCAGGGGCTAGTCTCAGAGAGAGCCCTGAACTTGTACAGTCGCATACTCATTCACAGGCACAGCTGGGCTTAAGAATGTGACTTTGCTGAGGGAAGCCACAAGAACGCCATTCATCAATTAAACAGATGTTTATTGAGTGTACACACCAGGCTTCATATTTCTTATTGCTAATAGCACTCCAGGCTTTCAGCTTGTTTATCGTAAGGAAGGGAAATGCAGTTTGTTATTTTAAATACTTCCACAAGAGGACTGAAGGGAGTGGGATGTCTTTTCTGAAGAAAAGCCATTTTCCCTGAAGAAAAGCTGGTAATAAGGAAGCGGAAGTAAGAACACAGCATTCCCTCTGGTGATGGACATGCCTCATACTTGGAGTGGATTACTAGTGAGGAGCAGTAAAATCTACTGTAGCTGTTTCTGCCCCCATCCCAGCTCCATGCTGGTGCTCTCTAGCTCTGGAAGGGCAAAGCCCCTGTAAAAGAAGCTCAGGTATGCAAGGAGACAGTCTCCTGGGAACACATTCTTCCCCTTCTCTTTTAAAAGACACGAGGGAATGTGGTCAGTTAGCATCGGTTTGGAGACAGAAGTGTGAGGTGTGCAGCACATTGAAGGCCCCTGGGGATGGCATGAGCCTCCTGGGAGGTGCCACCAACAGCAGAAGGAGGCGGGCATGGTGCAGGCCTATGCTCTGGAAGACCAAACCCTACATGTGAATGAGCCAGGGTTAGTATGACCTGTCTGTCAAGAAAGGTTTAGAAATGCCATGTACTGTTCTGAGTGCTTTTATGAGTTGTTGTTCTTGTTCTTGTTGTTTTGTTTTGTTTTTGACAAAAATAGGGATGGTTCTAACCATACTTCTGGGGGAGTCGGGGGACAACACACACAACTATGTATCAGTTCAACCTTACTTAGTTTCAGCTGCTCACTGCTATAGAAGTAAAGGCTAAATAACCTGCTTCATGGAGATAAGTCTGTAATTAATTCCCTCTGAATCTCAGGCACAATAGTATATTTTTCTTTGTTTCATTTTTAGACTTATTTTTTATATTTTTGAGTTCTTTATACTTTTTTTTTGTTTTTTTTGTTTTGTTTTGTTTTTCGAGACAGGGTTTCTCTGTGTAGTTTTGGTGCCTGTCCTGGATCTCACTCTGTAGACCAGGCTGGCCTCGAACTCACAGAGATCCACCTGGCTCTGCCTCCCGAGTGCTGGGATCAAAGGCATGCGCCACCACCTCCTGGCTCTTTATACATTTTTTAATTAAAATAGAATTACATCACTTACCAATCCCTTTCTTCCTTCTAGCTTCTCCCAGGTCTCCTCCTTCCAAACCCCTCCCATGAGCCCCCCACTCTCAAATTGATAGACTCTTTTTCTTTACTCTTATTACAGATATGTATATGTGTATGTATGTGTGCACAAATATACAACTACGACATGCTGAGTCTTCTGTATGAATATGGTTTGGGGCCAACCACTTTGTATTGGATAATCAGCAAGGATGCTGTTTGTAAAATGAGGTCATTCCCTTGCACTTCCATTCCTCTTAAAGCCACTGACCTCATGGCCTTGTCTCTTTCTGCCTTTCCACCAGTTTAGCTCAGTGTCCCCAGCAGTTCCTGAATTCTTGAAAACCCCTCTAACTGCGGACCAGCCTCCCACGAGGTCTACAGCTCCCATCCTCCCCACGAACACTGTGTCCTCAGCGAAGCCAGGCCCAACGCTGGTGAAGGTAGGTACCCGGAGCACAGCACTGTAGTGCTCCACTCGGTGACTGGTGCCTCAGCATCAAGCCTGTGGACACAAGACAGAGAGGCATGTGTCTGGAATTCCCACAACCTTGAAAACGAAACTAATGCTTGCTGGACTGGGTCAGCACATGACCTGTCCCCCAGTAACAGATGACAAAGAGCTTGGCTGTATGAAGTGCTGGCTGCGTAGCATCCCAGGGACGTCTTTGATGACAGCCCGCTTTGGATTCTGTGTGCAAGGTGAAGCTCTATGGCACCCAGACAAGAGAGAGGATGTGCTGGTCAGAGGCTCTGGAGAGGCCTTTTGGTTGAGTCATTTTGTCCAAAGCAGCTTGGCAGGATCTCAGATACGCCTCCGGTTCCTGGCACTGTTCCCCAAAGTGCACTTGGTTGAAATAATTCAGTTAGAATAAATCCCAAGGAAGGAGAAAAATACTTAAATATGCAGTATATTTTTAAAGTTCTTAAAATCCTATTTATAATTTCTAAATAAGATGATGGGGGAAAATAACAATAAGGAATAGTTCAACCATCTCAATTGTGGCTTTTCCTAACCCTGGCAGAGTTCACGTCTCAACCCTTTTGAACTAAATAGGACATTAGTGTCACTAACCTCTTGTCACCCTGCAGAGGAGGCTGACCCTCAGGTAAGGAGTGGCATGGTTACAGAGGCCCCGTCTCGAGGTTCTGCTCCAGCCTTTGTCTGCCCTGAAGGTCATGCATCACTCAGTTCTAAGGCAAAGTTGCCTTTCAAATGAGCACACTCTTCTCTCCCAGCCAAGGCTTCTGAGGCAGTGGGACTCTAACTTCGGAAAACCTTTCCCTGGCTCAGCAGGAATGTCAACAAAGTCACCTCCTAACGCGTCGTGCGGTATCTCCTCCACATCCACCCCACCAGTATCCACCCCACGTCCCTCAATAGCACAGAGGGCCAGGATACCAGCCTGTCCTGTTGCCTTTCTCCTCCTCTGCCTCCCTACTAGCTTCTCTTAGGGAGGGTTTTGACTCTAGGGGAAGAAGCATCAACAAGGATTGTGCAGTCCCGGAAAAGGCAGAGGGAGGGGTGCACCAAGGCCTCCTGTGGTAAAGGAGAAATACAAGACTCCAGCAGCATTCCCACTGTATAGATTCTTGCTTGTACATGCGGACACTAGCTGACCAGCTAACTGGACTGTTGAGTGGTGTGTAATAGCTCAACAGACTGACAGACAAATTACAGCCTTGCCAGTTTCCGTGGGGTGCATGCTCCCACCAGCCACCAGCTTCAAGTAGCCTGTGTGACGTCACAAGCGCAGAGTTAGGAAAAGATGCACATAGAGCTCTTGTGAGTCAGTCAGAGCAGCCTGTTTCATGAGCTGTTTGTACAACCGCTGTAAAAGTCATGCTGCTGAACCACTCTTCTGTGACAAGAAGAGCCCGTGCCATCTGTAGCACAGGGAGAGGAAGGCACATTTCCAGTGAACGTGCATGGGGCTCCCCATGATCTGCTCTACACTGGCATGCATTCACAGAGGAAGTTATTAGCAGCCTTGGTGTCTGGTCTACATTCTTTTGGTGTGGGGAGGACTTGTCATTTTCTCATTCTTTGGTTACGAGGATATTGTATGTAGCTTAGTCACAAGATCTATTCAGTTGTCTGTCACTAAAGCAACTTAGGAATGATGTCCTGTTTTGTCTGGGTTTTTTGTTATTATTTATTTTTAGATGTATTTTATTTTTATTTATATGAGCATTTTGCCTGCATGTATGTATGTGCACCATGTGAGTGGCTTGTGTCCAAAGAGATCAAAAGATCCCCTGGAAACTGGAGTTACTGATGGTTGTAAGTCACCATGTGGATGTTGGGAACCAACAGGTCCTCTGCAAGAGCGGCCAGTTCTCCAAACAGCTGAGCCATCTCTCATCCACTGTTTGGTTTCATTTTGCTTTTTGTTTTGTAATGTTTTTCTTCTTTTTTTTGGAAATAGATGCTTTCTGTAGAATATATTCTGATCACAGTTTCCCCTTCCCCAACTCCTCTAAGGCTCTCCTCACCTTCCCTCCCGTTAGTATCTGCACCAACTCTGCCTCTCATTAGAAAACAAACAGGCATTTGAAGAATAATAATAAGATCAAACAAAAACAAACGGAAACAAGACAAAACAAACAAACCTGCTTTGTTCCTCACCTAGAAAGGTGAGGTTGGTCTGTTGATTTTGAAACTGAAAAGAACAACTCAAGAAAAAGTTGCCTGCCAGTCATAAGATAGGAGAGATGTATGGTCTTACCCCATTTTAAAAATAAAATGGAACATTTTCAGTTTTTTTTAATTTATATTGCCTGGCATTTTGAATTGTTATTTTCCTTAATGCTGCTTATATAATCTGTCTTATTCTCATTAGAAGGATTTATTTATTATTGTTTATTTATTTATTTTACATAGCCATACATCTCTTAAAATGTTCTCCCTTTTATTTTTTTATTTCCTCAAAAAATAGCAAAGCCATCCCAAGAATCCAAATGACAAACACCGTAGCAAAAAATGCAAAGATCCGAAACCCCGAGTGAAGAAGTTGAAGTACCACCAGTACATCCCACCCAACCAGAAAGGGGAGAAAAGCGAGCCACAGATGGACTCCAACTACGCCCGTCTGCTCCAGCAGCAGCAGCTCTTCCTACAGCTGCAGATCCTGAGCCAGCAGCAGCAGCAGCAGCAGCAGCAGCACTACAACTACCAGACCATCCTGCCTGCGCCCATCAAGTAAGCCTGCACGGGGGGGCGGGGGTCGTCCCACCATGGCTTATACCCTGGCTTTGGGAGGATCCCAAGTTACAGAAGGTTGAATGTGGCCCAGCACTCTGCTCAGGGACCACCCTCACTTGGCTGCTGTCCAAGCTCACCACACAGTGTCTGCAGTCCCAAAGTAAATGTGGCCTGCCTTCTAGTCGGGCATTTGTCCTCCAGTAGACTCTGAGCTTTTCACAGCTCTTCAGGGAAGATGTGCCCACTGGACCTGTCAGTACCAAGTGCATGAGAAAACCGTGGGATGCACACCCACATATGTGAAGAAGCATGGGTGGAAAGCTTTGTGGAACGTTCCATAGGGAAGGCTCTAGAAGGCTCTTCCAAATAGAGAAAGAGACAAACTCTGATAGAGGAAGGACATGCATTGGTGGTGAGCAAAGTTGCCTGATGGAGGACCATGGGTGATTCCTAAGAAAGGCCCAAGGAAGGAAGTAGAGTCGTGCTGCAGGAGACTGCTCCACGTGGCAGATGGCGCAGTGCTTAGACAGAGGTAACCTGGTAGGACTGAACCATTAAAAACAAGTTGGATACTGATAATAAAGGAGATTCTGGAAATGTTCAGGGGCAAAGGGGCAGTGATGAGGTCCTGAAAGACATGGCAGGTGACTCATAGAGGAAGTTCTCTATGCCCAGGAGTGCAGAAGGATGGCATTGCCACAGCTTCCCACCTATTGTTAGGGCCCATAGTAGGCAAGTTTGTACCCTCAACTCACTGATTGAAAAATGTTTTAGATATTTATCCCAATATGCTTTTTCTGAAACTCAAAATGCAAAGGTCCTATCCTTCCCTTCCCACGTATCCAGCTCTAGAGACAAGGAAGGGACACAGAAGCTTGTCATTGGGAAAATACTCTGAGTGCAAGCTGCTCAGTATCATAGGAGAATGATTATCAATTTCCTTCTCTTAAGAGAAAAATATCATGATGAAGATTAAATTGATTGGTAATTTAGACCATCTTGTGGAGCACATGTCTAAAACAGAGCATGAAGATGGAGAAGTAATTCTGTAACGTGTTATTATTTAAAAGCAAGCAAGCCCAAGTGAGCTGTTATGGTGGAAAGGAGTCAGAGTTGGGACAGGACCCAAGCAGCTGTCACTACGTTTTAGCTTTGTCTAAGACCTGGGCAGATGTCCTACACCACCACCTGCTCAGGCACCAGGAGTGACAACAGTGGTGCCCATGGTTCCTAGCTGTTCACGCCACCATCAGCCCCGCTGCCGTCTAGTAGGGTTGGTCTTTTGACTCCATCCCAGTAGGAAACTGAAACTGAAAAATCCACAGAATGATTTTTCCTGTAATAGCTACCTGTGAATTACCCTTTTCAAAGTGAAGCAGACATGCTTGCAGTCAGAACATCCATGTACATAAACTTGAAACAATTTTTAAGATTTATTATTTTATGTCTTTGAATGTTTTGCCTGCATGTATATATGTGTGCCATGTGCATGCCTGGTGCTGGAGGAGGTCGGAGAGGGTATCAGATCCCCTGGGACTGGAGTGACAAGACAGTTGTGAACTGCCATATTGGTGCTTGGAATGGAACCCAGGTCCTCTACAAGAGCAACAAGGGCTCTTAATGCTGAGCCCACTCGTTAGCTAACCTCTGCCTGGAAAGAGGACAGCAGGGGCGTAGGACTCTAGACTCCACAAACCCTGTCCTTCCTTGAGGCTTCCATTTGCCTCCCCTCCCCAAGAACCCCAACTGCCATAACTAAACCTCCCCAAGAAGAGGAAAGAGCCATCTAGTGTCCTGTGTCATTTAACCAGAGGAAGACTGAACTCAAGTTCTGGCCAGCTCCCAGATCTGATAAATGAGGATTTTGTTTTCCAGCACACTACTAATCTTTACCAGAGATCTGTGACAGAGCATAGAGAACTGAAGCCAGGTGTGGTCAGGCACTGCCATAATCCCAGCATGAGGGGAGGTAAGGCTGGAGGTTGCAGGTTCAGGTCTAGCTCAGGCCACATCGCAAGACTGTCTCAACAAAAACAAAAAGACAGAAGACCCGAAGGTCTGCTGTGGGGAAATCCAAGTTTATATATCAGGTTCAGACGTCTGTGCCCATCCCTGTGCCTCCTTGTTACTGCAGAGCAAGCCTGGGCTTCACATAAGCCCAGAGTGGTCTCATAACAGCAGAAGTTAGAAAAGGTGTCAGGAGCCCACTTCAGGCCTCAGAACCTCAGGTCTCTCATCTGTGATTTAGTTGAAAAAAAAATTCAGCTTTTAAAATAACAGAAATAAGTTAAACAGTGAGTCATAGGCACAGATATGGAATCCTGGCCATAAAGGTAGCAGAAAGGGTTACATTTGTGTTTATGTGTACACACATGTGCAGGTCAGAAGTCAATATCAGGTAGGTCCTCTCATCAAACCCAGAGCTCAGTCTTAAGGCCAGCAAGCCCCAGGGACCCTTCTGTCCCCACCTCCCCAATGCTCAGGTTAGACACACACCTCTGTGCCCAGCTTTTCATGGAGATGCTGAGGATCTGAACACAGATCCTCAACCTTGCATAGCTCTCTACCAACTGAGCCATCTCCCTAGCCCCATGAGTAATACTTCACTGTATATTCTCCAGAGGACAATATCACTAAATAGAATAAAGGGGGTTGGGGTGGGGACATCAGGTAATAAAGCACAGTATAGCAATTATTCATACTTCATGGAGAGGTTGATACAGAAAAATGTCCAAGAATGCTCCTCGTGGGGACAATATTGAATGACAATAAAACCCAAAGCACCAATTAAGTTTCTACCACTCTGAGGTAAGACTTTAAGTTCTGTGTGAGAAGAAGCTAATGATACATAAAACACTCCGCATTTTGCCCAAACCTCAAAAAAACTTCATTTTCAAGACTAGGTAGGCATTTTAACTCAACCCACACCAGGCAAGTGTTGAAAGGCACAGATGTAAATGTGTTACCTGCCAGTGTGCAGTGTGTGCCACAGCTAGCATGTGGCCCTTCGAGCTTTCCTTTAGGGTACCCTGTCCTTTGCCTTCTCGGCATCAAGCTTAGAGCCACCTTCTAAATTTCCTCCACACAGACAGTGCCTCTAGGGGTTTGACTGGGATAGAATGCATTTGCTATTTCCACGATACTGAGTCTTCCCATGTGTGTCCATAATTGAGTCTCCCTGTGAGCGGATAGATTGTTGATGGAGCCAACCTAGAAGCAGCTTGTTGTGAACTCTCGTTTCTTTTCCTGTTGAAGAAATGACAAGAACAGCAGCAGTAGCCCGACTGCACCTGCAAGGAGGCCAGGGCCTCTGCCTCCCAGCCTGGACGACTTAAAGGTAGTGACCATCCCACCTCCAGCTTATCCCCGCAGTAGCTGACACGTGAGCAGACGGCCAGGGTTGCCTGTCCTGTGCACAGTTTTCCATAGGTGAACAACAGTAGTTCCCTTTGTAGGAGTGTTTTCTTTTTATTTCAGTTAGGTTTTATCTTTCACATAGCTGATAATTCTCATTTACTGACGTGTGGCTTATTTGAGCACCGTGAGCAGAGAGCACTTCTGTGTAGCAGTTCTTAGAGGACCAGCTCTTTCCAGGCACTGCTCACAGGCTTCTGTGCCTCCTCTGAAGATTTGAGTTCATGATGGTGAATACAGATGTGAGTACAGATGGAGAAAGTCCAAGTTTATATGTCAGGTTCAGACATCTGCTGGAGTGGCGGCCCATCCCTCTGTGGGCAAGGGAGGGAGGTCTGCTGTTTATGCCCCAAGACTCCCCATCCCTCTGTGGGCAAGTGTAGATGAACGGTCTTATTAAATAAGAAATACAGAGCCAAATTCAGAGTTAAAAGCCCAAGAGTTTAGAACAGTAGTTAAGAGCTAGGAAACCCTTTCTTACCCTTCACTGCTGCTGCTGTCCTACCTCTCGGCAAGAGAGCTACTTCCTGTGTGTTTGTCCTTTTTATTGACTTTCTATTCTGCCTTCTCATTGGTTGTAAACCCAACACATGACCTCCTCATCACTGTCCATCTATACAGACCTCCAGGTCTTCTATGGTTGGTATTGAGATTAAAGGCGTGTGTCTCCATGCTGGTGGTATCCTTGAACACACAGAGATCTGCCTGTCATGTGATCAGGATTAAGGGTGTGTGCTACCACTGCCAGACTTCTACTATGATTTGCTATTAGCTCTGACCCCCAGGCAACTTTATTTATTAACATACGAATAAAATCACATTTCAGTACAAATAAAATATCACCATAGGCAAGAGAGGGAGGTCTGCTGTTTATGCCCCGAGACTCCCCATCCCTCTGTGGGCAAGGGAGGGAGGTCTGCTGTTTATGCTCCGAGACTCCCCATCCCTCTGTGGGCAAGGGAGGGAGGTCTGCTGTTTATGCCCTGAGACTCAGGAAACCAAACACCTGATCTGCTTTTGCCTCCAGGTGTCAGAGCTGAAGACAGAACTCAAACTGAGGGGTCTGCCAGTGTCAGGAACTAAACCAGACCTCATTGAACGCCTGAAACCCTACCAGGAAGTGACCAGTAGTGGCCTTGCTGCTGGCAGTATTGTGGCAGTGTCCTCAGCAGCTATTGTCACCAGTAGCCCAGAGGTGACAGTGGCACTGCCCGTCACAACACTACATAACGCCGTGACTAGCTCTGTGTCCACTTTCAAGACAGACTTGCCACCTGCTGGAACCAGCAGCGTGGCCCACGTTGAAAGTGCCCATTCCCCTCTGCCCATCTCGCCGTCGCCCTCCGAGCAGTCCAGTCTCAGTACCGATGACACGAACATGACAGACACCTTCACCGAGATCATGAGCATGATGTCCCCTTCCCAGTTCCTGTGTGCCTCCCCGCTGAGGGTGGCAGGCCATGAGGACAGCCTGAGCCCCACCAGCAGCACCCTGTCAGCCCTAGAACTGGACGCTGCTGAAAAGGACCGAAAGCTTCAGGAGAAGGAGAAGCAGATTGAAGAGCTGAAGAGGAAGCTGGAACAAGAGCAGAAGCTGGTAGAGGTCCTCAAGATGCAGCTCGAGGTGGAGAAACGAGCACAGCGGCCCCCAGACCCTCAGCCCAGTGGCCCTGCGCAGCCCCTTGGTACATCAGATCAAACACACGCCAGTGTCGGGTCCTCCATCAAGGATGAGGCCTCACTTCCCGACTGCTCCAGCCCACAGCAACCCATCTCCACTGGTAGCCAGACCCTTATTGCCAAAAAGGCTGTGGTCATCAAGCAGGAGGTCCCCATAGCCCAAGCAGAGCAGCAGAGTATTGTCTCGCAGTTTTACGTGAGTTCCCAGGGACAGCCGCCTGCCCTTGTTGCTCAGCCCCAGGCCTTACTGACCACGCAGACCACTCAGCTGCTGTTGCCGGTGTCCATCCAGGGCTCAAGTGTCACTCCAGTGCAACTTCCAGTCGGCAGCCTCCAGCTCCAGGTATGACGTGTCTCACAGTGTCCCTTTGCAGCGGTGGGAATGGTGCAGCAGCCTGAGCTGTTGTGCAGCCACTGTGATTGTGGTGGCCCCCTGTTCTAAAACACCCCCGCCTCCTGTTCTCTTGACACACGTGCAGGGCTGGAAAGCTGCTCAGTATAGTTCAGAGCACATGGTGCTCTCAAACAGGACCCAGGTTTGGTTTCCCAGCACCCACATCAGTCAGGTCACAACTGTCTGTAACTCTAGGGGATCCTGTACCCTCTGATTTCCTTGGGCACCTGCACACATGCACATAAACACACAAAGGCACACAAACATACACATAAAAAACATCTTTAAAAAAAATTAATGGCATTAGCATAGGCTATGTGCCTTTAGTACTTCACCCCATGCCCTGGTTCTAAGTGACAGCCCATTTCTAGATAAGGAGCCTGAGGACAGACCTGACACATAAACCCATGTCTTCTGACCAGGGGGAGGGGGGCCATGTGCCTGTTCCTGGAAGGTGCCATTCATCTGAGAATGGTTCATGAGGGAAACACGGGGCTGTCCTGACCACAGGGACCTGCTTGTTGGCTTCTTGCTTTCTTGCTCGGTGTAGCACTTCTGATGGATGTTACACACATGTGGCCACTGAGCTTCTTTAATTTGCCTAGTACCTGTGACAGCAGGCAGAAATAAGTTCACCCCTGCATTCTAGAGGCAGAGCCCAAGCACCCTTGGCAAATGCAAAGCACTCTAACTCCCTGCTTTGTGTGTAGAATGCTTTTGAGTTGGAAGTCTATTCTGTAACATACCTTAGGGAAGAGATTGATCTAAACACTGGGTTAGAGTTGATGGAAGAAGAGAACCTGTTTTCTGCTGGGCCTCTGTACAGCTGTGTGCCCAGCATCTCTGGCTGTTCACAGACCGCATATGCTGCCAGCTTAAAGCAGAATTGTGGGCTGTTGGGTGTCACAGTTTTCCTCAGTGCTCTTGGATGTGCTACAGACCTGACTGTTGGGTGTAGAGCTGCCTTGTTTCAGTTTTCTGCCCTTAAAACTTTTCAAGTGAAGTCTTAGCCACATGAAGGAACAGTGGTCTGATCTGGTATTTGCCATTGGTATAGGATTGTTGAACTCACTTGGGGAAGGTTGATAGGAGTCCAAGTGTGTTGTTCAGGCGGGTGACTGTACCTACAGTGCTGTGTTTCTCAGGAAGCTAGACAGTTTTGAACCCCCAGTCCCCAGCTCCAGAAAGAAGGAGAAAATGTTTCAGGACACAGCATGTGTATGCAGCACAGTGTCACACAGCACCCAATTAATGATAGTTTTTTATATTTCTATCAGAAAAAAAAAATTGAAAATAATTAGCTGGGCAGTGTTGGCTCATGCCTTTAATCCCAGCACTCGGGAGACAGAAGCAGGAAGATCTCTGAGTTTGAGGCCAGCCTGGTCTACAGAGTTCCAGGATAACCAGGTCTCACTGAGGAAACCTTGTCTCGGGGTGAAAAAAAAATTGAGAAAGTAATTGTCAAAGATGAGATGACCCCAAGTATTTGACTGTAATCGTCTTGTGTTGTTTTATTGTAGCTGCGACTCCCAAGCAAACAGCTGCACTGTGTTATAAACTCAGTCCCAGATGAGCTTCTTGGCACTAAGATTAATTTCTGTCTTCTTCCTAGACCCCAGTACCAGGAGGAACCCAGGCTCAGCCTCAGGTAGCTGCTGCCACACAGGTTCCAGCGACAGCCTTGGCCCCAGCACTGCCTCAGAAGCAGGAGGCCTTCCCGCAGCATGTGCTGGGCCAGCCTCAACCAGTCAGAAAGGTGCGATGCTTTCAAGGGCAGACTGCTGCTGCTTTTTTCTGTCACCTCTCCCCTGGCAGTGAGCATCATCTAAAAGCCTATTCATTGGGAAGCTCCTGTGATGCTCAGCCATAGAACAGACCCTAGCTCAAAGCTATTTGGACACAGATACTCTGTTTACACAGATACTCAGGGAAAGCTTTAGTATGAAAGATGGTTGAATAGAACAGACCTTTCCAAGTACGTTTCCAGAATTCTGGTATACGGCTGGGCGGTGGTGGCGCACACTTTTAATCCCAGCACTCAGGAGGCAGAGCCAGGTGGATCTCTGTGAGTTCGAGGCCAGCCTGGTCTACAGAATGAGTTCCAGGCCAAGCACCAAAACTACACAGAGAAACCCTGTCTTGAAAAACCAAAAACAAAGAATTCTGGTATACTAGACTTGCTGAATTTCAAGATATATTTCTTTTCTAATTAAATGTGCTGATCCGTGGGAAAAGATAATTGAAGATAAAGAAGATACTTGTGGCATTTCTCTCTTAAGTGAGAACTCCATATTGTATCTGAGAGTCTCTGCTCTGTCATGGAGGAAGAGCTGCAAGGGTCAGGTGTAGGGCACACACCTGTAATCCCATCACTGAAGAGTCTCCAGTGAGAGGCCAGCCTGGGCTGCAGAGCTGACACTTCTCAGAAAAAGAAGGGAGAAAAGGATCTAACCTGGAGGCCTCAAAACAGATGGTTTTTGTCCTGGATCTGAGCTCAGAGCTTTAGTCTTGAACAGTTTATTAGGCATCCCAATGTGTAAGCCTCAGGTACCCGGAACTGTGTGTGCCGAGCCAGCTTGAGGGGAAACAGAGGCCCATCTTATCTACAGCAACATTGACACAAGGAAAAAAGAAAGCAGAGTCAGACATGACCACATCGAGAAACCAGAAAATGCTAATTTTAATGTAGTAAGCTTAAAGGAGGTTCAGCTCCCTTAGCCTAGGAAGAGAGTGTACAGTGATACAGACAGTATAGAGAAGGGTTTCTCACTCATCTCAGAGTCCTGGAGTCAGGAGTCAGTACTGCCATAAAGTGACGTCTGCCACATGGAAGGAGACGTACAACAGTCAGTGCATTTGAAGAGAGAGATGTGCACTCATGTGTTCTCATGGTAAGAAGTGTACATGTTGGAGCTAGAGAGATAGTTCAGCAATTAAGAACACTGACAGATTCAATTCCCAGTGTCCACATGGCAAGTCACAGCTGTCTGTAACTCTAGTCCAATGGGAACTGACACCCACTTCTTACCTTCATGACCAGGTATACACATGGCACATATACATGCAGGCAAAATACCCATGCACATGAAGTAAAAAATAAATAAATGTAACAAAAAGAAAGACACATATCTGCTCATGATGACATAAGGGAGAAGCCACCTTCTTTAAGGATATTATTAGTGGTGTAAAGTACATTAATCATTTTGGTGATGAAGCCAAGCCCTGTAAGACACAGTACTGAATAAGCCATGTGGCCATCACACTTACGGCTCTTCATGAAGCCATAGGAAACTCCAAAGTTTCATGAAAACTAGTTTCCCTTTGGCCTTCTGACACAGAACACAGTTCTTTAGAAGGGGTGAGACTTCAGACAGGAGGAGCATGCTGCCCATGTGACAGGCATGTCAGTGGGAGGGTTTGAGAAACACCTGGGGAGAGGCTGTCAAAGAGGTCCAGGATTTGCTAACTTACTAAAGAGCTAGGAAATGCAGAGGGAAAGGTCTGCAGGTGGTTCCAAGAACAGAACAGAGGACGGTACTGAATGCAGACCCGTGGACCACCATCCTCTGAGCTGGAGCAGTGACGGGAGGGAGAGAGCAATGGGAACATACTGAGGTGTGTGAGCACAGAAGAGGTAAAATGGCTGCTGTTATCTCAGCCTATGTCCTGAAAGGGGACCAGGTCACCCCAGTGAGCAAGGAAAACTGCCTGAGCCCTCTCCCATAAAACGCTGGCTAAGCCGGGCGGTGGTGGCGCACGCCTTTAATCCCAGCACTCGGGAGGCAGAGCCAGGCGGATCTCTGTGAGTTCGAGGCCAGCCTGGGCTACCAAGTGAGTTCCAGGAAAGGCGCAAAGCTACACAGAGAAACCCTGTCTCGAAAAACCAAAAAAAAAAAAAAAAAAAAAACGCTGGCTACACAGCATAAGAACAAGTTGCTCAGCAGAGGAACCCCACTCCACCTGTGTCTGCAGATCCAGTCCTATTGGCAGCTGCCTGGTCTCCCACTGCTCAAGTCTGCCTTCGTGCTCCCAGCAAAGACCCTGTGGCCCACCAACCTTGAAAGTTTGTTGGCCTCTGCTCTAAAACATGGTTTGCTTTCCTTCATTGTCACAGGTCTTCACAAACTCTGCAGCAAACACAGTTCTTCAGTATCAGGGGCCGCCTGGTCCAACGACCCAGCAGCCCTTTGTCAGTAAAAGCTCCAACCCTGTTCTTCAGTCTAGAAACACCCCACTTGCACCCCTGCAAAACGGCCCTAGCCCAGCCAGCAAGGTAAGCTATAGTGAAGTAGTATCTACAGTACTTACTGGCCATACAGCCATCCTAGCACCTGGAGTGTGTGGTGACTCAATGTTGAAGTTGAGGGAGTGAACCCAGGACTGACAGTGAAGAGGAGTTCTTCCACAAGACAGCCACCAACTGTCAGCTGCCCAGGTGCTTAGGACACCTGCCTGTGAGGTGACTGAGCTGCTGTGGGTAGAACAGCTGAGTCCTTGCAGGCTCAGTGGGTGGCCCAGAGCTAACAAGTGCTTCTCCCTTGTTTGATGCAGCCGAGCTCACCCTCCCCACCGCAGCAGTTCGTCGTCCAGCACTCTTTGTTTGGGACCCCAGTCACCAAGACAAAAGACCCACCTCGCTATGAGGAGGCCATCAAGCAGACACGCAGCGCCCAGCCAGCCCTTTCAGAGGTGAGTGTGATCACAGTCATGTCCCAGTCACATTTCATGTCATCATCTCAAGAACTTGCCTCTGTTAGAGCAAGAGATTCCAGCTGGGAGCTTTGTATTTTGGCTGGCTGTTTTTAATTGGCATGTGAAGACTCCCAACCCGCTTGCCTACAGTAACTTTTGGGATCAGCAGTTCAGTGTGGTCTCAGGCAAGGTGTTTATGTTTCCTTGGAGCCCTCCTGGGTCCCCTCTAATGTGGGGAGTAGTGGCGGCTGTGCCCCAATGAGCAGAGTGAGGGTTCTCCATTATAAAATGCATCTAGCCTGTGGAGGACACCCAGTGACCACAGCACATGTTTTTGATTAATGTAAACACATCCAAGCCCCTGCCTTCCCAAAGCTCCCTTTCAGAGCTGAACACTTACTTTTGAGAAAGGAGCCCAGCCTCCCAGAGGACCTGAGGGATGGACCTGACAACAGGTCACAGTGGATCTTCTAGCAAGAGTTCATTCACAGAAGCTAGCAAGAAAATGAGCATCTGTGTGCAGCCCCATGGCCGTATTCTGTGGAATACTTGTCAGGGACACATGGTATGTTGCTGCCCTTGCTGTCTAAGGCATGAAGAGGCAAGGCCGCACTTTCAAACTTTTTGTTTGAAAGTGCGGCCTTGCCTCTTACCTAGGATGCAAGCATCAGGACTGTCTGTGAGTGGTCAGTGCCTGTGAGGAGATGCTCAGTGACCACAGGATGCAGAGGAAAGACAGTATTCCTAGTTGTAAAACATCCCAGACTCAGCAGAGACCTCAGCTATGAGGAAAAAGCCAGATTATAAAAAAAAGTTTAAACATTGCTGTAAGAGTCTAATAAACAAATGGCCTAATAAACTCTTGACCTGCCCCTCCCACAGTCCATTTCAAAGTAGCATCTCTTCTCCGAAGCAGAAATGAACTGCCAAGTGATTTTAATGACAGTGAGAAGGCAGCCCTCACCCACCAAGCACCGTTCTTATGTGCAGGCTCACTGGCATTGCCCACCTGACACATAGACCAGAAGAAGCCATTGGGGATTCTGGGATTCCCATGTCACTAGGTTCAGCTCTAGGCTGCGAGCACCAGGTGTGTATCAGCCTCTCGGTCCCACTGGGAATCTTGAGGCTACACAGACTTCAACTCCACCAGGGCTGAGCAGGGCCCTGCTGGTTCCACCTTCCCACAGTAATGGCAAACACAAACCTAAGGCAGAGATCAGCACGCTCAGTGCTTTGGTAGAGAACCCACTCAGTGGAGGGAACTTAGGCGGCATGAGTTCTCTCTTGCTGCTGCTACATTTGCCGTGCGGGTTGCTGGTAGAAAGTGGAGTCACTATGGCCTTCAAACTACAGGACCTAGCTGTGAGCTACTGAAGAGAAAATTCAGGAGAAGAAAGTCCTAAATTCTACGTCCACAGCTCCACCTAACCTTCAAGCCACAGAGATGTGGAGTAGACTCAGAGCAGCCTCGCTGCAGACAGAGGACGAACTGAGATTGTAATGTCCACACAGAGCATTTCAGAGCTGCAGTTAACCCAAACTAGCTGCTTGTTAAAAAGAGATCATTTGTGTGAGAAAACAATACAGATAGCATCCTTCCTTGACAATCAAGATGATGTCGCCTGTGCTCAAAGGAAAAACCACTAGGGAGTTGAACACAGGCTGAGGTATGGACTCACCCTGTGTTTTCACCCTTTGTAAGTGAAAACAGATACAGGAAGTCTTTTAAAAGACTAAATGGAAATTCTCGGACTAAAAATACAGTATTCGAAGAAAATCCTAGATGAACTTAACAGAGGGGAGGGAAAAGAAGTGAGCTGATGAGGTGAAGGGAACCAAACTGAACAGTGCACAAGCCTGAGTCGTCCTGAGCTCACCCATTACATTGTAAACACAAGTGGCCCATAACTATGTCCAATTGCTTCATGTCACTTCACCTTTAATTCAGAAACAAAACCCATGACTAGAGCCTCAGAGCCTTGTAATGGTTTCCCACGGTGTAACTCACATGGAAGCCCTAGAAAGAAAAACAAGATATGGGGGCGGCTGAGTACTTGAAGAAATAACAACTAGTGTTTTCACATCTCTGAAATGTTCAGCAGACACTGACCTAACTAAGTAGAATCCTGTTACATCACAGCATTCCACATTACGTCAGAGTCACATCAGAAGTAAAGGTAAAAGATTACTGGGCAGAAGCCGGGCGGTGGTGGCGCACGCCTTTAATCCCAGCACTCGGGAGGCAGAGCCAGGCGGATCTCTGTGAGTTCGAGGCCAGCCTGGGCTACCAAGTGAGTTCCAGGACAGGCGCAAAGCTACACAGAGAAACCCTGTCTCAAAAAACCAAAAAAAAAAAAAAAAAAAAAGATTACTGGGCAGAAAAGCAGTACATCACATAAGGGGCAAGTGACTGTTGACTGACGTTACCTTTTCATCAAAGCTGATAGAAGGAGACTGGCAAGGTGTCTCAGTGGGCTTGCCAACAGTCAAACAGACTGAGTTCCAGCCCCGACCTGCGTGATGGAGGAGAGAACACACTCCTGCACCCATGTACAATGGCACACATGCAACAACATATATGTGCACACGCACACTCACAAAATAAATGAAATGTATTTTTAAAAACTAACGGAAGCCAGAAAAAATGCTGCAACATTATTTCAGGTTCTTTGGAGGGGTCAGAAAGACTGCCACCTGGATTCTGTGTCAAGTGAGAGTATTCTTTAAGAATAAATGTAAGCCAGGTGTGGTCACACACACACCTTTAATCCCAGCACTCAGGAGGACATCTGTGAGTTCAAAGCCAGCTGGTCTACAAAGCAAGTTCCAGGACAGCCAGGGCTGTTACACAGAGAAACCCTGTCTTAAAAAGAGAGAGAGAGAGAGAGAGAATAAATGTAAGCTCCGGATAATTTCAGATAAAGAAAACATAATCTGTCAAACACAAAGACATGGGTTTTAAGTCAAGGGTTGGGGGAAAAAACACAGCATTCAAACAGGAAGCTTACTAGATCTGCTGGTGGCAATAGACTTAAACATATGTTTTACCGAGGATGATAAATGGCTAAAGTGTTTGCAGACATCCAACGATCACTAGTCACCAGGGAAATGTTAGAACCACATCTTATCCCATAACATACCTCAAGAAGTGAGAATGGGAATGCCAGACCACCTGCTGATGGGAACCAGTTTGACCATTTTCTAAGGCATTAAATGTACATCCACTATGACCCGGTCACTCTACTCCAAGATATTTTCCTGAGAGAAAACAGCATGGCTGTGCAAAACTTGTACACAGATCTCTACAGCAACTTTGTTAATAGTCCAAAGTGGGAACCCAAATGCTGCCAAGAAGTGAGTGAATGGGGAAGCAGGCATTTCTATATGTGGAGTACCAGTCAGCATAAGGTGTATACTACAACATGGATAAACCTCAGAATAATGACACTGCATAAAAGAATCTGCCTCCTCTGTACCCTCAAGAAGTGCACATCTGAATCACTGACAGGAAACTGATCTGTTCTGAAAAGAACAGGACACTGGTGTCCTGGAGATGAGGGAGCTTCCCAGGTGACAGAAATGATGGTGATCTTGTTGATGGTTTCATAAACACATACATGTCAGAACATTAAATTCCATGATCTAATGGTGTCTTAGGGTTTTATTACTGTGAAGAGACACCATGACCACAGCAACTCTTAAAAAGGAAAACATTTAACTGGGGTGGCTCACAGTTCAGAGGTTTGGTCCGTTGTCATCATGGCAGGAAGCATGGCAGCAAACAGACAGATATGGTGCTGGAGAAGGAAACAAGAGTTCTACATCTGGATCCGCAGGCAGCAGGAAGAGAGTGAGCCACTGGGCCTGGCTTGGGCTTCTGAAACCTCAAAGCCTGCCCCCCATGACACACCTACTCCAAGAAGGCTACATGTCCTAATCCTTTCAAATAACGCCACTTCCTATGAGCCTATGGGGGCCATTTTCATTTAAACCACCGCATATGATAAATACAACTTATGTGTCAAGTAAACTTCAAAACTGAAAACACATGCATAGTGTGCTCATCTTTAAACATACCAATTTTATTGAATTATATACTTTAAAAAATTATATATTTCAAAATTATATTTTTTAATTAGATACTTTCAAAAGTATTAGGAATTTCCCAAAATGCCATTCAGTGACAGTAAGGGAAATGTGGCAGTCAAGGAACTGACTTCTTACTTGACTCCTAGTTGTTCTATCATGCTGTGATATTTGGGGTAAATGTTTTCATTTCCCAAGTAGCTCAGCTGTTTTCCAAATTATCCAATGTTCGATGAGAGCAGAGGCCCAGTGGAGGGCCTCAGGGTGTGGCGGCAGACTGCCCTGGTGAAGGCTACTAACTCTGCTTTCCTCGGCTGCAGGTTTCCAATGTGCACAGTCAGCAGATGGACGACCTCTTTGACATCCTCATAAAGAGCGGAGGTAGGTCAAAAGCTGGACATGAGCCTGTGGGAAGAGGCCTCACACCTCTGGCCCAGGACAACCTTACTCTAAAGATGAAGGTTGTCTTGGAAACTGAGAAATGGACAGTTCTAAACCTGTTCAAGTTAGGTCATTAAAACACATAACAGAGGAAAGGCCTTTGGTTCCACCTCAAGCAGTGGCGTGATATCCCCACAGCCGTTACCTAGCAAAATAAAAGATCATTCCCAAACAGCAGAACTGGGCCAGCTCTAAACTCTACGTGGAACTGCAAAGCATGCCTGTATACCAGTCTAGCCATGGGCTGAGAACAGTCTGATTACCTGGCCTGTGCTCCCTCAGTTGTTCTGTTAAAATTCAAAGCACTTCTACGTATAAGGAGACACAAGAGCTAGTGAGATAACTCATGGGTAAAGGTGCTTGCTGCCAAGCTTATGACCCGAGTTAAGAGAACTAACCCCCACAAGTTGTTCTCTGGCATGCACACACATAAATAATAAAATGTAGTTAAAATTAAAATAAGTCATCAGTTTACAATATGTTGTCTTTAAACCAGACATTAACCACAGAAAAAACAGTCTGCCTCAGCTTATGTGTCTTTAAAAATAAGCATAGAATAAGTTTCAGAAGCTTGTAGGGATGGTTGCAGCCAGTGGCAGAGCGCTGCAATACAAATGTGAGGTGCCATATTTCATCCCTAGCTACACACACACACACACACACACACACACACACACACACACACACACACACAAAAACGCATACACATGCACTTGCGCGCACACACACACAGACTGAATGTTAAAGTTTTCTGATGAAAGCAGTCTTTGGGCCGGGCGGTGGTGGTGCACGCCTTTAATCCCAGCACTCAGGAGGCAGAGTCAGGCGGATCTCTGTGAGTTGAGGCTAGCCTGGTCTGCAGAGCGAGATCCAGGAAAGGCTTCAAAGCTACACAAAAGAAACCCTGTCTCAAAAAAAAAAAAAAAAAAAAGCAGTCTTCTGTGAAGTTTGAAGTCTGATTCCTATTTCTCCATCTGACCAGAAGGCTGATGTTCTGGTCAGAGCACTTGGCTAGTGAAGGACCCTTGCCATCTGCACATGGGTCACATGTATAAATTGAAGTCTTTGCTAAGAACTGTATTGATCTTTCAAAATACGTTAAACTCATGACTAACATAAACTATGAAAACTTAGGGGTTTAAAAATGAAATGTGTATTTTAAAAATCAGGGCATTCAGTTTTTGCTCAATCTGGTTATGATAAGATTTTTTTCCAATGATTAATAATAATTTTTATGGAGCAGAAGATGGTTCAGTAGTTCAGTGGCTGCTCTTCTGGAGGACTCAACTGCAATTCCCAGCACCCACATGGTGGCTCACAAACATCTGAAACTTCAGTCCCATGAAATACAACTTCCTCTTCTGGCTCCATGAGCTCTGCACACACATGCACAGACAAAACCCCCAGTCACACTGAGCTTTAGTTCATTCAATCTTTCCCCTAGTGTATTCTCGGAAAAGTGAAATTGAATCAAACATGGTGAAGCACATTTAATCCCACGCAGATCTCTCTGAGTTCCAGGCTGGAAAGATAGCACAACACTTAAGAGCACTTTCTGCTCTTGCAAAAGATGAGGATTTTGTCCTCAGCACCCATGGTGGCTGGCCCTCACGTGCCTATAACTCCACTCAGGGTCAGATACCCTCTTCTGACCTCCATGGGTACTTGCACACAGGAACACACATGTATACATAAGTAAAAATTAAATTTGTAAGAATAAATTAAATAATTGGTGCTTATTCCTCCAGAATTTATATAGCTCAGAAAAGAACAAGAACTCAGAGTAAAAGCTGGCCTGCCTCAACTTAAGGGAGAAGGCAAAGGAACCAGCGCCAGCCTTGAATCATAAGGTATATTGTATCTTTTGATAACTTTCTAGACTATATTGCCAAACTGAAGTGCAGTCTCAACCATAATGATTTTTAAGAAAAGAATTAGATAGAGCATGGTATTTCTGCTTCTAAGATATGAGAGAGGGTGACAAGGTAGTCACTAATACAAAGTCCGATGGCAGCATAACCGTTCTAACACCATCAATTCTTCTGCACAGAGATTTCCTTCCCTATAAAAGAAGAGCCTTCTCCAATTTCCAAGATGAGGCCAGTGACAGCCAGCATCACTACAATGCCAGTCAACACAGTGGTGTCTCGACCACCGCCCCAGGTCCAAATAGCACCACCTGTGTCCTTAGAACCTATGAACAGTTTATCTGCCAGCTTAGAGAACCAGCTAGAAGCTTTCTTGGATGGAACTTTACCCTCGACCAATGACGTTGCCCCACTGCAGAGCAGCAGCGAAGACAGAGAGCCTTTCTCTCTGATAGAGGACCTCCAGAATGACTTGCTGAGTCACTCCAGCATGCTGTACCACTCTCACTCTCCCATGGAGACCTCCGAGGCCCAGTTGGTGGCAGCAACCCCCTGTCTGTCTCTCGACCTGTCAGACTCCAACCTGGACAACATGGAGTGGCTGGACATCACCATGCCCACCCCGTCCTCTGGGCTTGCTCCTCTAAGCACCACTGCGCCAAGCATGTTCTCTGCTGATTTTCTGGACCCGCAGGACCTGCCACTCCCATGGGACTAAGGTCACAGGTCACTTGTCCCAGAGTCGTGAGGTTTCAGAACATGAAAACAAGGGTCAGTGCTTAGAGCTGTAGCCAGAGCTGCACTGCTACAATTAACATACGTTGTCCCAGAAGAAATAGACGGTCATAGCCTGGAAGCCAAGTGTGAGGGACTCCACAACTTACAGAGGCAGGCCTGTCGCATGCAAGAGGCCTTGTGAAATGCCTTAGATAAAGCCAAAGGTCAGTGCCATCCACAGGAAGTGGCACTAGAGCTCTGGTCATCAGCTACCTTTCAACCTCTGTGGTCACCTCACGGCCCCAATAAAAGGCAAGCAGCTCCACTTGAAACACAACGCCACCACGAGGGAGGGGAAGGAGGGGAGAAGGCACTGTACATGTGCCCCCTCGAGTGGCCTGACCCAGGTCTGTAGCACAGTCAGAGGCATTTAAGCATGCTGTGCAACTAGCAGCTGCAGCTTGCAGCCAGAGGCTCTGGGTTCCACTCTGAAATCCATGTGGCTGTGTGATGTCATAGGTCATTTGGTGAGTTTGGGAATCACCGTAAGTGGATGTCTGCAAAATACTGTCACACAAAGCCCCGTGCACAGAGTCCAGATGTGTTGGTAGTGCTGCAGCTCTCAGTGGCCCCAGGTGGATGAGGTTAGTTCTCATGTGATGGTAGACATTGGAATGTGCTCTGACCTTGTGACCTCTACAGCCTGCAGCAGAGTAAAAAGATGGCCGTCCACTGGTCCTACTTGTTGTAATAACTCAGATATCTCTAGAGTACCTGAGCCACAGTATCTCCATCTTTGAAGACTTGCCGACAGACTCTCAGGTGGCCACACCCATCTCAAAGAACCAAAACAGGCTTCAGCATGAAATTCCTTTTTGAACTAATGAGTTAGAAGAAGGGAAGGTATGGAGTATCTGTCAGACTGCAAGACAGTCCCACCTTTAGCACAGGCTGGACCATCCCCTGTCACTAGATCCCTGGTTCTCATTGCATAGGCTTGTAATCAGATACCCTGCCTGCTCTCGGTGTGTCTTCAAGCCTAAGCCTAAAAACTGGAGGTTTTATTCCTTTTTTCTCTTGATCTATAAAGGAAAAGTTATGTTTGTCAAGTGATTTAAGAATATTCTAAAATGCCAACTGCCACAGGATTTCCACAACTCTTGATCTAGTCATTTAGTTATTGGCAAATTGTAAATAACTGAGCAGAGTATGGGATTTCTATTAAATAACAGCCTTGTCCTAGTCCCTCCCACCCCTTAACCTGAGCCAGGTGGGCTTCCTCCATCAGTACACAGCCCTGTCCACAAGCACATCCAGGAAGTAGCCTGACCCATCGCCTAGACAGAACTTGAGTCATTTCTGAGGAGGTTTTGTCCCAGAGTGATCTCCGTTCAAGTTTGTACTTGTTTAGCCCATCTGTCAGAACGGCCCCTGTTCCCAGCTTTGCCCTCTTACCAGGAACTGTTCAGTCAGTGTTGGGAGACGTTACCATTCTGACAGCTGGACACTGTCATCTGACCAAGTCTTCTGAGAGCACTCCTGTAGGACATGATGTAACCAAGTTGGTTCTGCTGGACAGCTGCTTGAGTCCTGGCCCCCACTATGGACTGGGAAGAACTTTCCCCAGGGGAATTTCAGCTCTAGGTTTTGGTGGAGAGCTTTAGTCTTCTCTCCCCTGCTCTGGGTGTCCAAGTAAAGTAGTACCAAGTATCAGTGAGCTTGGGGAAGGCTGCTAAATGCTAGGGCATTTCCTCCTCTAGAAACACTTTTACTTCTGTCATCCTGAGCTGTGAGTAGAGACAGCATCCTGGCCCTCAAGTCCTCTGTATTGTTCTTAAGTGGTTTGAAGCCTGCCACAAGAAAGTCGTTCTCCAAACACAAGTGAGTACAGAGGAAGCCAGCTTAGTTATTGATGTGCCCATCCTGTCCAGGCTTCAATCCATCAGAGTCCTATTTCTTAAAAAACCAAGGGGCCTCCAGCTCCCTGCAGCCAACTCACCCACAGCATTCCTTGCCCTGCTCTCCTGGTTTGAGCATCCAGTAGGGATATGAGCGCGCTTGCTAGGCCTCCACCCCCACATGCTGTGGGCAAGAGTGGGTACCTTTCCCATGTGCTCACATGAATGCGTCATGACCAAAGACCATTCTACAGAAAGACCCTCAGTGAGTGCATCAGAAAAGGTGTGTGTCTGAAGATGACTTTGTTGGTGAAAGCTGGTCAGGCCAGCAAGATGACTCAGCAGGTAGGGGTGGGGCACCTGCCAACAGGCCTGAGGAGCTGAGCTTGAGCCCTAGAATCCATGTGATGGAAGGACAGACTGACTCCCTCAAGTTGTCCTCTGGCCTCCACACACAGACACACCTGCAAATAGGTGTACAGTTACTTCACAGCCATTAAATCACAGGTCAGAGAGCCCGTGAAATTCCCACTGTGCATGTACATGTGTAGTGTAGGCTTCTGTTTGTAGCATGTTGCCAAGGAAATCCTTCCTAGAAGCCTGTAGTGTCCAACCCCAGCTTCCCATTTCCACATAGTCCCAAAGTGCAGTGGTATCAACTTCACTTTGTAAGGTACAGATGAGTGGAAAGAATTACCCTACAGCTTCTAGAAAGCTGATGTGGCTGTGGGCCTCTTGTACATTTCAGCACGGCCTCTCTAGTAAACCTCTCGGGGCTGCAGCAGTGCTCACTCAGGCATCCTGCTGTCCTGTGCAGTCAGCACACAGAGATGTCCTGAATCCATGGAACTTTTTGCTCAAATACCATATGTGTTTCACACTTTACTAAAACCTTCTTTCCAAAAGCTCCGTGGTTCTCTGACCACGTGCTATGCCTTGCTGGTCTGAGCACTGCAAAAGCCAAGTCAGCTCTGCAGAGTCAGGGAAATGGGGCAGTGCTATCAGCCCACATGTGCTGTTAGCCGAGCCAGAGGAGCGAGTGAGAGTGAGCATTGTCCATGTTGTCACCAGAGTGGACTCGAGCCACCTGAGCCCAGTTATTCCAGGCAGTGTTCCCAGCAATGACAGTTGTCCCTCAAGTCAGAGGGCAGCCCCTTTTCTGTCCTCAAGCAGACCTTGCCCAGAGAAGTGGCCAAGAAGAGCCCACAGCACATCTCCACTCTCAGCTCTTCCCACAGTGGTCGGTCTCAGAAGCTGCTGCTGGGAGGAGGCTGGGGACGTGGGTACCACCAGGACTGGAGAGGAAGAAGCTGAGCGCAGCTGTTGCATTCCTACCATCAGAGCGACCAGGCCAGGGCCAGCAGACTCAACCAGCCTTGCTTGCTTCTGTCAATCACACCACACACCGAAGATATCAATTACACAGGGACCTACTGCCCCAGAGGACAGTTAGCCCCAGGTTACCCTAGCACACTAACTGGAAGGCCAGGTTTATCAAGAAGCACTGTTCATGCTCACAGAAGGTGTATTTGGAGAGCATCCTAAAGTTCAGCTCATTGTAAAAAAAGTTCTGTCAAAACTGGAAAATAGCAGTTCAGATAGAGTCATTTTGTTTCCTGGTTCAGACCTTCAGTCGCTTGTTCACTCAGCAGTCTCTGGGTTCCATTTTTATTTGTCTGGTGACTGACTGGCAGTGAGCAGGTCGTTTGTCAGCCGCTCACCCTCTCACAGTACCTGAGATGTGTCCCCGTGACTTTGTTTGAGGCCTGTGATTCAAAAAGCTGCACGTGTTTACAGGAAGCCTCACCCTCCACTCAAGCCCACTGCTCTGGGGAGTGGAGGTGTCACAGGTTTGTGACAGCAGCTTAGCAATCTCAGGTGTACTAGGTGCTGTCTGGAAGCCCGAGATGATGTGTCATCAGAGACATCGGCAGTGAAACCAAGCTTTATGCCAACACCCAAGACAAAGCTTTAGCGAGTGAATAGACTCGCTGGAAGAGGGCCCAGTTATGTTACCTCTCCATCCTGCTGTGAGGATCCTCCCCACTAACAGGAGGTGAAGGTTTAAGAGAGGGTTCAGCGTCCACTAAAATTACTTGACCTCAAGAAACCAATAGTAATGCAAAATGCTTAAAGGAACCAAAGGCATCGCCAGGTATTTGCCAAAAGCAGCCACTTTTTATTTAAAAGTTGAGACTAGTGTGATCTCAAGTCAGTCCCAAAAAGGTATCCATTTAAGGTTAGGTTATAGTTCTCACAGATGTAGATATTTCTTCCTTGTTTTCCTGTAAAATAGTATGGAGCTGTTTTGTTGGTTTAAGAGTAACATACTTGGTAGTAGTGCAGAGTTGTTTTCTTCTGTGTCGAGGTTAATTCTCTGTTGCTTGCAATGGACATGCAGGTGTTTCTCTTCTTTTCATCTTCACATAATGTCTTAGCATCTCACTTCCTGGAAAGAAAAGGGGAAAAACACCAGTGGGCAGCGCCAGTCTTAGGGAAGCACTAGTTTCAGGAAATCATGGCAATCGGGGGTCCATTCGTGTGTTGCCTTTATGTTGTTTTTAAAAGAAAAACCATGATGCCTTTGTATGTGCCGTTTGCACCCCGACTCGGTTCTGTACTGTGTCTGAATGCCATATGTTTGCACATGTACTGTACATAGGCGATGCAGACTGTATTTTTATATGTATGTGCATTTATCATCAGATCTTTTGTACATAGTGGCAGTATTGTAGCTGATCGGGAAATGTTTGATATCTCAGCAATTTTGCATTTTTGTGTCTCAAATAAAAAAATTTTGATGAACCATGACTTTGTGTGTACAGAGGAAGGCACTGGGGCAGTGGGGCCGTTACATACTTGTGAGACGGGGCAGCCTCGGGAAGGAGAGCGTCTTCAGAACAGCTCCCAGCCAAGCAGCAGGTGGGCCAACGGTATGACATGTAGACCCCCCCAGGAAGTAGGCTGCTCACCTCATGTCCTCACAGTGCACAGCAGAAGCTCGTAGACACTCAGTGACCATCAAGACCTGTTCTGTCCTCCAGAGAATCCGGAGCCACTGAGTGAAAGGCACTAAAGTATGTGGTCCTTGCTATGGTATGGACACAACACCATCTATAGTTAGAGCTGGCTCCTCTCCTATGGCGACGTGCACACCACCAACAAAACTTCCAGACACCCAGAACTGAGTCCTTCAGCCAAGTCTCAAAAACAACTACCTATGTCAAAAGTACATTATGGCCCATATAAAATGCTCTTTAGAAGTTAGTAAGTTATGGGGAGAGGCATTTCATGGTTAAATTAATGTTTTATTTTCCACTTAGCTTAGAAGAAACCAAATGGTGGTAGGAATGCTTAATGGACAATCATAACTGATAACGTGTGACAGTCACAGGAGTCTATCCTCAGTCGCAGAAGAAAACTAAAGTGCTAGTTATCCGTGTATCTCGGGTGCAAGAGAGCAGCCAGCAGACGGGTGACGGAGCTGTCCACAGTGTCCTTCATGTGCAGACAGATCTGCCTGCCTGTGCAGTGACAGGTGCTGGGAGGGAATTCCTAAATGAGGCCAGACTCCCTGGGGACCAGCTCTGCTCTGCTCTGCTCTGTGCCAGGCAGCAAGCTCAGTGCTGGGGTTGGCCTGTGAGAAGGGGTCCACAAAGGAAGTATCCAGAAGTTGGGGCTGGGCAGGTAGGAGACCACAGGCTCTAGAAACTGCTGGCCTGAGGCATTAGACTCTCCCACAAAGATCTCTTTTTTTCCTGGGTAGTACTGAGCTAAAGCTTTCTAAAGAAAGCCTTTGAAATGTTGGGCAAAGTCCACTGAGTGTGTGAGGAGTCCTTGACCCCAAACCTCAGTGATGGCTGCAGATGGCTCTTCCACATCATAACCCAGCAGCATAGAATGGAGAGAAGGCTCGGCAAGCTGGATGGCCACCAGGTGTCATCAGCAGTTTCATCTGCTCCTATAATCCTAGGGTTTCCGTTCTCTCACCCCTCCTTCAGTCACCACTACTGCTGCCTCTTCCTCCTCCTCCCCACTTGTCTGTGTCTGCCTGTCTCTCTGCTGTCTACCTCTGCTTTTCTCTCTCCCCCTCCCTCTCTCCCTCCCTCCCATTCCCTCCCCCTCTCCTCACTTCCTCCTCGTGCATGGTCACATGTCATCCAATCCTCCTAGGTTCACCTCCCAAGCGCCAGGATTACAACCATGTCACTGCACCAGTCTATGGAATGCTGGGGATGCCAAGCACGCACCCTGCTGGCTGAGCTACATCCCAGCCCTTCTTGGTATTTGGAGTCAGGGTCTCACTAAATTGAACTGATTGGTCTGGAACTCATTCTGTATCCAAGGCTGGTCTTGAACTTGCAATCTAGTCTCGACCTCCTGAGTGTCTAGGGTTCCAGGCCTGTGCCATAAAGTCCCACTTGTTCTGCCAGATGCCAGTTTTAATGTTTATATGACTCAGGAGCATGGTCATCACATCCTGGCTTTTCTGTTCATTTATGTGACAATAAGCAAAAATGAGGAAATAAGCATCTTGCTGAATTCATCAACTGCTGAGGGCCGCATTTGTTGGGTATGTGTGTTCTAGGTCCTTCAGTAGGAATCAGTGAACAGTAGCTCTTACTATGACCAGGTTGGCCTCATGGAGATCCACCAGCCTCTGCCCACTGAGTGCTGGGATCAAAGGTGTGCACCACCACACCCAGCAAGGAGGAGCTTTGAATCTAGGTTGATCACTAAGATTTCATAGGTTTCAGCAGGCAAGACTGCCCAGTGCTGCAGGGGACAATTTACCTTCTAGTCCCCAGGACCCACATAGTGGAAGAGAACCAGTTCCCACAAACTATCCTCTGACTTCCACATTCATGCTTTGGCAGTGCATGTACACACACGTACACAAAATAAATGTAAATTTAAGTTCATGCTTAGCTCAATTTAATGCCAATAAATGAGGTTCATCTCAACCTTAACTAGCCTTCAGTCTCTTTTATGCCTCCTCAATCTCACATACACACTAAATGAATGAATGAACAAGTAAAATGTAATTTTCAAAATCTGGGAGCCTGTAAGACGGCTCTATGGATTCAATCTCCAGGAGCCATATGGTGGAAGAGGAGAACTAACTCCCACAAGCTGCCCTCTGACCTCTGCATATGTGTGATGACACACACACCCACACAAACACCATTTTAAATGTATTTTTAAAAACCCACAAGATCCAACTTTCTTCTCTGCCAGAACCACATCTCACTGGCAAGGCTGCACTGAAAGTGAAGTGGGAAACTTACACAAAGCAGGAGAGGCAGGAAACATCAGATGTACCACGCCTGTGTCTGCAAAAGCAAACTACAAACAGCAATTCATCAGAAGACAGGAAGAAGCTCACGATCAGCCAGTGAGAAGGCCTTGCAGGTGAAAGGACCTGGGACGACTTGAGTTTCATCCCCCAGACTCACATGGTGAAGTAGAGAATTAACTCTTGAAAACTGTCCTCTGACCTCTACCAGTAAATCATGATGGCATGTGCATGTGCACACACTCACACCACATCACACACACAGATTAAATAAATAAATGTAATGTAATTGTTTTCATTTACCACCTGTCAGAGAGAGCAAGACACTAAGAAAATGTAAGAATAGTCAATATTAAACACCAAATTTAATACACCAATTTCCTAAAACAAACACTACTAAAAATAAATGGAAATAAATAAAATGAAAATGAAAGCAAGTATTTAACAGTAGTGGATATTCAAGACCCAACTCTCATCAACATCATTCCAACAGAAAACAAAACACTTTAAACTATGCAACAGATCAAATCAAGGCAATGTTGTCCCCCCAAGAACTTCAGAGTACACATTCTTCTCAGCAGTGCAAGGAGTTTTCTCTAAAATATATCAGGGTAGGCCATAAATCAAGTCTTAAATACAAAAGAATTGAAATAGCTTCTCATATCTTCTCAGATAACAGTGGAAACATCCTAGAAGTTGATATCCAGAGAAAATCTACAAACATGAGAATACTGAGCCATACACGTTTCCTTTGCAGAGCTGAGGATAAAACCCAGGCCCTTGTCCATGCAACCTAAGTATTCTACCCTACACTGAGCTCCAGCTCCAGCTCTTGAGTAGTACACTCTTGAGTGACCAAGTGAAAACAGCGCACCTGAATCTTCGGAATAGTTCTAAGAGGAAAGATTGGAGGTATGAGTGATTGCATCAGAAAGTCAGATATGGCATGCTGCGCTGCACACCTTTAATCCCAGCACTCAGGAGGCAGAGGCAGGTAGACCTCTGTGAGTTCAAGGTCAGCCTGGTCTACAGAGTTCCAGGACAGCCAGGACTACATAGGAGAAAGGAAGGAAGGAAGCAGCTAGCTCACTGATTCACCACGTTGGACTTTAGTGGTGTCTTACTTCTATGTGTTCTGGTTACTTGTGTGGGCTGAATATGTTTGTTCACACCCCTGCAGGAATGGTGCCACACAATAGCCTGAACCCCAGCACTATGAGAGGTGGAGAAAAGAGGATTGCTGGCTTTCAGCCTAGCTCCAAGCCCCATAAGAGACCCTGTCTCAAGGGCATAGTGCAGAGAGTGAGAAAGCAAGGCACAATGTTCTCCTCTGGCCTCCACATGAACACACATGTGCACATACATCATAAATACACAGAAAATAGACAAAAGTCCCTATTTTTAAGAAAAATAATTGACAACTAAACAAAAATAACACGTTTATAAAGTATATAAAACATGAGAGAAACCGCACCAAATCAAGGGAGGGAGCGGGGCATAGTGTTACTGTGTTTATATTCCTTCTACTGGTACAATATTGTTACCACAAAACTACAAGCTAGAGATGGAAATGATAGCTCTTACAGTAAATGCTGCACTAATAAGAAAAGGAGTTGTGATTGATGAACCAGTGGGGAAATGGAACCCTAGTTGAGTGCTTGTCTTGTATGCACAAAGCCCTGGTTTCAGATGTCTGTAATCCCTACAGATGGCAGGTGGGGCAGGAGGATCAGAAAGTTCAAGGTCATTCTCAGCTAAATAAGAAGTTTAAGGCCAGTCTGCGCTATGTAAGACCATGTCTTAAAAAAAAAAAAAAAAACCAAAGGTAGCAGAGGATGAAGAAAGAAAAAGATATGAAAAATTATGGGGAAATCAAAGGTAAATATTAAGATGGTAAATTTAATCCCAGCACTCAGGAGGCAGAGGCAGATGGACCTCTGTGAGTTCAAGGCCAACCTGGTCTACAGAGTGAATTCCAGGACAGCCAGAGCTGCATGGTGAGACCCTGTCTCAAACACACTCACACACACAGACACATACACTCAAATGGCTAGGGAGATGGCTCAGCAGGTAAAAGTTCCTGCTACCAAGCCTGACCACCTGAGTCTGATTCCTGGGGGCCTACCTGGTGCATATAGAGAATAAATCCCTGAAAGTTGTCCTCTGACCTCCACACTGGAACTTGAACTCTACCAGCATGCATGTGTGCGTGCACACACACACACACACACACACACACACACACACACACACACACACACACAGAATATTTTTTTTAAATAGGAGAAAAGAAAAAAGGAAATCAGAACAAAGTTCAAGACAAACACTACCTGCTCTCAAGGCTCAGGAGCCTTAGAAAGCTACACAAGATGCTTTCTTTTTTCCATTGTACAGTATTGGCTTCTTTGTCAAAAATTATATGTTCATAGGTATGTAGATTAATGTCAGGGTCTTCAGTTCAATCCCATTGGTCCACATGTCGGTTTTTATGCCAGTACCAAGCTGTTTGTATTAC